ACTAAAAAATTTTTTTGGGGATAAGCCTTTGGGGGCTTCATCCAAAGAAGGGGGGTGTAGCCCACGAAAGCTTATGCTCAAATACATTTGTTAGTCTCTAAGGTGCCACAAGTACTCCTGTTCTTTTTCAGATAACACATTCATTCTAATATGCTCATTAAAGACGCATTTCCTTTATCTTATCCTTCCTGTTCTCCCACTCTCTGTCTTTTAATACAGTCATAACATTTCCTTTGTTTACAAAAAACAATGGACCTGAACAGAATGGTCTAAGAAAGAGGTCTTACCTTAAACATAGCTGCCTGTGGCTCTCCCAGTTCATAAAATGGAGGCTTCCCTGTGGCCATTTCAATGATGGTGCACCCCAAAGACCAGATGTCGGCAGCTTTTCCATAGCCTCGTGGCCCTTTGTCTATTATTTCTGGTGCCATATACTGAAGGGTACCTGATTAAAAACACACTTTTTTAAATTTAAAACTCAGATGATGAGGGAGCCAGCTAAGAAGGGCAGGGGAACAATGCGGATGGGCAGGGAGGAATGTTAGTCATTTAAAAAAATTATCCTCATAGATTTCAAAAGAATACTTTTAGTTAAGGCCAAAAGTGAATGATGTTTGCTACTGATCTGATCTGAAGTCCCCCGAAGACAAATGTTGAAACTCAATGGACTTCAGTGGGCTTTGGATCAGGTCCTATTTTCACATAGTCACATTATATGCCAACAGAAAAAATTAGGAGGGCAATTTTGAATTGGATTCAGAGATGGAAAGGAACTGATTAGTGAGGTGATAGGATTCTACTTCTTGGAGTGAAAGAGCCATTTAACCATAGCATTCCGCACTCTCAAATTCAGAGAGCAAGAATTTAGCAAACACTGAAAGAGGGACTTGAAATACACACATTGAAAAGTGATTATTAATTATATATATAATACTCACAGTTCAATAAGTTTGAATTAGGTTTTTAAGCAGGAGGAAGATCAAATTAAGGACAAATTCTTGAGGTGGCGTTAGGCAGATTAAGCAAACAAAGGAAAAGTTACTTTTGGGTCAGTGAGGCAGCAAGATTAAAAACTGTGTGCACAAGAATGATAACCAGGAACCTGGGGAAAAGAGGCCTATCTTGCCTAGGAGGATTTGAATCTCTCAAGTAATGTCAGCAATGGCATTCCTCTCTACCAGCACATACAATTCAACTCACTAAGATAAAGTTTATAATTAAGATTAAGCAAGTAAAACAAGCCCATTCCTCCAGCTACTATATACATTGATTTGAAGTCCATGGAAGTTCTGCATGTGAAGCTGCTGCAGGATCTGACCCTGCATTCATAACTGTTCTTCTTTTGCTTTCAAATTGGAAGACACTGTAAACTAGAAACATACCAGTGAAAGTTTCAGTACACGGATTGATCCCTGCAAGTCTCTTTGATGTGCCAAAGTCTGAAATCTTTAGAACTCCACTGTATGTGTTGATAAGCACGTTATCACCCTGAAGGACAGAACATTTAGACCAATTATTTTTCTCTAGTGACTGTTAATGTAAGACAACTTGCAGCACACATTTTCAAAGCGCATTCTTTTATATAATTACTCTAAAGGGATATTTAAGGCGGGGGTGGGGGGGGAGAGAATCATTGTTGCTGCCTTCTACAGTTCCATTTTAAGGTGCTCCCTCTCTAAAATGAAACATCAGGACTTGTGTATGCTTCCCCATCTACAGAATTTCCGTAAAGAATACTGATAGAGGAAAGAAACACCAAAGATTCACAAGATTCTTCCAACTCTTTCAGAAAAATGATTTCCCATTGTCAGGTCTGCATGAAGAATCTCATTGTGGAAGTTCCTTCTTTCCTCCCAACCCTCTATAACTCTTTCCCAACTTTCCACAGAGTATTTTTGATTTGACTTTTCCCTGTTAAATGAACCCATGACTGTGATTCATAGCACCTTCTCACCTTTATGTCTCGATGCACTATCTGATTATCATGGAGGTATTTTAATCCTTCAAGAATCTGCTTGGTGTAAAAACCAATTGTCTGCTCGTTATCTTTTAGTGGTCCCCATTTTGAACGCAGAAGAGCAGAAAGGCTGCCTATAAATTTTTTTGGGGGGGAAAAAACAGAGTAAACTTAGCTCAGAGATTGTTCTTTCTGGCCTTAGCTTCTGTCAAGTAATAAATGTAACCACACTACCAGGAACAGAATACACCTTTACTAAAATATAGACATCCTCCATAACACCGAACATTCCTACATTTATCTATAATTAAACTTTTAAAAAAATCTGTATTTCTTTTCATTCATGATGATCATTGGCTAAACAGTACTCAGTGTTGTTGCTTTTAAATAATGCCAAACTCAAAACCAGCACTGAACTCTCAGGGAAAAAATCAAGCAAGTCTCAACCCCTGACACAGCACAGTTGGTGAACTTTCCCCACCAAAACTCTGTCCCCCCTCTGCCCTGATAAACAATCATCCCATAAAACTCTACACCCTTCAAATACCTAGGCAAAAGGACAGGCCTTGAAGTATGCACTTCCAGGTCAACATTCCCAGACCGAGAGTGTGGAAACTTATTCCATAACTACAGGCCCCTCATGTAGAATGCTTTACAATCAGTCTCCCCCTTCTTTGTTAAACCAGGAGGAATCCAATTTGAACAGCTCTGCTAACCATAGCTGGAGCAATATGGCCTAGGGAGTGATGTGGTCTTTCAAGTAAGCAGGTCCCATGCCATTTAGTATACGGCTAATCAAAGTCACATTTCTTTGCCTACAGAGAAGCAGACTGAAAGGAAGCATTAAGGAAGTGTGTAGTGGGGTGGCTACCCCACTCCTGTAGAGAAGGGCTTAAAACAGCCCTGGCAGAGGGCTGCAGCTGGAAAAGCTACTGGGCTGATTGGGGAAGTAGCCACAGCTGGGCCGCGCCCCAATCAGGCCTCAGCTGGCCCTGTATAAGAGGCTGGGAGGCAGGAGGTTAGGAATCTCTCTCTGCGTTCAGGAAGAGAAGGGCCTGGCTGCAGGGAGCTACACATAGGGTACCTGTAGTGGAGCAGGGCTGGGGAAAGGCTGAGGAGCCGGGGAGCCCCAGCCTGGATAGCCCCAGACTGCGGCCTAGTAGGAGGCCAAGGGGTACTGGGGGTTGCAAAGGGTAGCCCAGAGGTAAGCCAAGGTAGTAGGTCCAAACCCAACCTTGCCAATGATGAGTGGCCTATACTGCAGTCTGCCCCAGGGAGCGGGGGCTAGTTGGTGACTGGCAGTAGCTTTATCCTGAGGCGAGGTAGGGATAGTGGGTGGGGGTTCCCTGGTGAGGGGAGACCCTAGTACTGAGGGGTGTACTGCCAGGGGGCAGCACCCCAGATACAAGGGGTCCGGGAGGGACACGGGGGCCAGAGGACAGGCGGATCACTGGCCTGCAGGGGGTGCTCCAGGATGCTGGATGAGCTGATTCCCCAGATAACCAGCAGGAGGTGCTGCAGGGGTGAGGCTGCTCCTCTACAAAGTGTGTCTAAGTATGTGTGGAGAGATTTTGTAGAAAAGGTTAATTCAAGGGATAGGTTTTGTATTTAGTTCTAGCTGCTCATTTCATGTAGGAGTGAGTTCCATAGTCCAGGTTGGGCTTCCATGAAGATTTTATCTCCTCCATCCATTTACCACCTTTTCCCAACAGTTTCATATTTCCAGTGGAATATAACTGCTAGTAGAGGTCATGGTCATAGAAGGAGAGGTGCTCTCTCAGATAGCTACGGCCAATACTATGCAGAATTTCTATTAAAATAGAGACCTTGACCTGGACTTTGTATTCAAGCAGGAGCCTGTGGAAAAAGCAGAGCACTGGGGTGGTTTGTTCACAGTGATCTGTACTGCTCAGCAGACAAGTTTCTACAATCTCTACTAGGTGAAGCTTTTGAAAGATGTAAGGTATCATTCCTAGATATGAGTTGCAATTAATTGAGCCTACAGGTCATGAATCTGTGGATTACTACATCCAGGTCTGTGCTTAATAGGATGGGGTGCAGTCTTGTAGCTAGCCACAGATAGAAATGTGTATTTTTTGCAAACATGGCAATTAGGGCCTCCACATACATTGAGAATTAAGAGATCCTTGACTTTAAAAAATCAGCAATGCCTTCAATCAAAGATGATAGAAGGAAAGGTCTTCAACCCACTTCCTTTTTCCTACCAGCATCACTTTTGTCTTGCCTATATTCAGTTTCAGGCAGCTGCTCTTCATCTAGATTCTTCATCTCCCCTGGGCATTTGAAAAGCTCTGAGTTGGTGGTGGCTACATCTCATACGACGGTGGTGTACAACTGGGTACTGTCTGCACATTGCTGACATTTCAGACAACAAACCTGCTCCCCACATGGTTTTATACAGATGACTGAGATGGTAGCATGACTGATCTTTGGGATTTCTCAAGTGATGAATAGGAGAGAATAATTGCCCATCACAACCTGCTGGGTGAGGCCTAGCAGGAAGGACTCTAAATATACTAGGTAATTTCAGTGCATCCCTGCAGCCTCTTTGGCAATCAACTATACTGAATGCTTCAAAGAAGTCTATGAGGATGACTGTGGATTGTTTCCCCAGTCTATACTGGAGGAACTCATCTGTCACAGCAACAAGTGCTGTCTCCATACCATGCCCTACTCTCAAGCCTGATCAAGTTGGATCCAGGCACCTTGGCAACAATTGCCCAACTATGCTGGAAGAAGCACAGACGACACTGGATATGGTTTACGCCGCAACTTTATTCTTAAATGTCTGGGAGTACCCGGCAGATAAAAGTGTACAGTGCAGGTAATTCCATAATCATTTCAATATATACCTGGGGACTTCCATCAGCCCTCTTACCCATCCTGGTCCCCAGCCAACCCCGCTCCTTGAACAAGGGTTGAGGGGAGCCTACAAGGGAGGAGGGAGTTGGCTCCCTAACAGACCAGTCATAGGAGCCCTGAATCTCCTTTTCCTCTCCTTTAAAGAATACCACCTTTAAAT